GCAAAATTGGCTTGCAGAACAAACAAGGACACCTCTTATCAAAACAACCAGACTCATTGACCAAGGAGGAAACAACAAAGAGGAAGTTGTAATCTASGAATGTCCTAAGGAACTCACATCCAAGCAGGAAGSGCTACACAAAAAACATGCAGTCMTGTTCACATTTGCGAAGAAAAGTCAGGACCTTGACAGACAAGCAAAGCTGAGATGGATATGGGAAAAACTGAAGAGCTTGGAACCAATCCAAGGGACTGATCCCAAGGTCTCATTCCACCCAAGGTCTCATTCCACCCAAGGTCTCATTCCACCCAAGGTCAAGGAATGTAATCATGGTACTATGCATGGAAGAGGCCCTTGCATCATTCTTAAAGAACAAATGTTTCACCTGCAATTCATCGGTCGTCACAGTTCACCCCTGGAAACAGGCCACAAGCTACCAACAAACGCCATTCAGATACAGACAGGACCTCCTCAAAAAGCACTTCTGGATCCAATTCGACAACGTTCCAGAAGGCATGCACGRCAGTATCAAAGAAAGAGTGAGGATGGAATACGGGCATTTCCAAGAGTCACACTGGATTGTCGCGACCCCGGATTTTCTCACCCCTCACCATAACCAAATGACAGTCGTGCTAGACATTGGGAACAGTCCTACGTCGTACACCCCCGAGGAGTGGTTCTTCTCTCACGAGAGCAAAGTCATCAGGATCACCGTGTCCAGCAAGGCCAATCCTCTGTGCTTCAAATGCAGACAGAGAGGGCATCTAGGGACAGATACCAACTGCCCCAAAGTAAGGGAAAACGCAAAGCCCAAGCTCCTCAAAACAGCCAACTTGCAGGAAGTGACGGACAAAAGGGGATATTGGTACGTCCCGGGCACCCAATACGCAGGTTGGGTGTTCAACGATAACCTGGACACACCAGATTGGGTCTGGACCTTAGACAGCGAACCAACACCCAGACCCGAGGTGTATCCACCGTTTGACAGCAGGTGGCAAGCCATGAAAGTGGAAAGGAAATCCCCCAAATGTTTCACCAGGGATCCCGCTATAAACGTTGAGAGTTTAAAGCAAGAAATCTGGGAGAGAGATTTGCGCGCAGATCTGCAGTCGGTACAAGAGATCACGGAAAAGAAATGGGTGGAAGTGGTCAGACAAAATCAGGAGGCGGAAAGGGGCAAAGGGGGACAACAGAAACAGAAGACGTACTCTAGAAGAATGCAGAGGGGACAAACAAAAACAGGTCAAGGCCAAGGAACAGACACAACAGAGGCCGGTCAGGAGGGGACAGCAACGACCCTCTCACCAGTAGGAGGGTCAGCTAGCCAAAACCCTGCAGTGGGGGGGAAAAGGAAACATCTCGAGGGAGCATTCGACAGGGAGGTCACGGAAGAAGAACAGGAACATGACGAGACTGTGTACTATCCGTGGTCGGGTCGCCAGGAGAGCGAGATCTTGAAATTCATCCAAAGATTTGAGAAGGAAAGACAGAACAAATATGACCTGCAGCTGATCTTGCACAAGGAAGAACAAAAATACAGACAAACAATGGCTGCCTCAAACCCCTCCCAATCAATTCCCCTCTCGGAGAATCCATTCACCCCTCTAGAAAGAGAAGAAGAACTGGCTGCTTTCCTCGCAGAAAAATACAGCGCAACGAAGGAGAACCCGGAGATGGAAATAGACGAAGGGAATGGAGATTGTGTGAAGAAGAATCTGCACTTCAAGAGCACGAAACTATCAAACCATAAGCCCACAGTCACCACAGGTGGACATAAGGATCAACGGGGGCAGACAGATTCCAGCGAAGAAAACGACACCGCAACACTGTTGGGCATCCAAGCAGAGTCTCTCTTTGCACAATGTGAAAGACTCACCGACCTGAACAGGGAAATGACTCTGCGCACGGTTACAATACAGGACCTGCACCTCAAGGCACATGAGGGGTTTTGGGAAAGAGCGAAAAAGGAAGCAAGCATGCTCCTACCCGCTCGAGCAGTAATCCCCATTCAATTCAACCCAGTGGGGGAGGAATGGAACGTGGCTGTATGCGGCGATCTCTCAGTTCCTAGGCTGCAAATGGGGCAAAAGCAAGAGGATGTCCTGAAGAAGCTCAGCAAGGGAAAGGTGCCAGAGGTTCTGGGACTGGCAGGCAAATCACCAGAGGAAGAAGAAATCAGCAAAATGGAAACATCCGGGGAAACGGAAGGGAAGGACCGAAGTATGTACGATGCAAGACCGCTCCTGGTCCATTTCGATCAGGAAACAGAACTCGCTGAAGGCATGCAATGGAAGCCCTGGTGGTGGATGACTGCACTACCCATCACAGCCTTAGGAAATGAAACAAACATGACACACAATGCAGCAGCACTAGCAAAGCTAGTAGAGGCTAGAGTACTAACAATGGCGGAGAGGGAACTGCGGTCCCACCTCACCCCATTGGAAGACGTGTCAGAAAGCAGTTTGTCCATCTAAAATCCCTCAAATAAACCAAACCATGTACCGCAACCTTTGAACAATGAAAACCAGAAGGGGGGATTTAATTATCCAATCGTGGAATGTCAGAGGACTGGCAACAATCCTTTCCAATCCAGAAAAATGGCACTGCCTTCTAAGTACGACAGGGTGGAACAGCCCGAGCCCCCCAGACTTACTGTGCATTCAAGATACGCATTTAACCAATTCACAGGCGCACAAAGCAATAGAAAATGAGTTCTGCAGAAGATTAAGAAATTGCACTTCTACAGTAACATCATACAGCCCCCAACCCTCTTCAGCAGGAGTGCTAATACTCACACACAGTAACACTGAAGCCTCACACTTTCTACGGATTAACTCCACTTCAGCAGACCAAACGAAGGGAAGATGGGCCAAATTAGAAATAACATACAGAGGGGAGGACCTCACAGTCATAAATATCTATGCCCCCAACTCTTCAGCGGAGAGAATGGATTTTTGGGAAGAAGTAAAGGACCTCTACCAACAACAGTCCCACACAATAGTAGTGGGGGACTGGAATACAGTACAAAATCCACAACTAGATAGGATATCATGGGCAGAAGAAACCTCCCAAGACCCAGCGGCAACAACTCTAGCGCAACTTACAATAGAAAGTGATCTCACAGATCCCTATAGGATGCTCAACCCGAATAAAAAGGACTATACTTGTATCAGAAAAACAACCCAAGGTAGAACATCCTTCTCGAGAATCGACTTCTTCCTCATATCACAGTCACTAGAAGGGGCAGTCATAGATAGTTCTATAGGTAGGCTTCCATACTATGCAGGGTTCGATCACAACCCAATAGCCATCAATTTAGCACTTACCTTAGACAACTCCCCAAGGAAGAGTTTTTTCAAACTGAACACATCACTCCTCAATATGAGCACATTCAAGCAGGGCATCCAAACTAAGTGGAAAGAAATTAAAGAAAACTTCAGGGAAGGGCAAATCCTAAATGACCTACCGACTGCAATCCGAAGCCTAAGGGACTGGGCAAGCCTCTTCTCAAGGAAGGCGGCCAGGAGGAGGAAAGCAAGGCAAGAAAGTCTTGAAGCAATGGTAGAACTCGCAAAATTCAACCTCATTGCCAACCCAGGAGTACCATTATACGAGCAGCTCTTAGAGAAGGCCAGATCAGAACTTAGGCAATGGGCAGAGTGGAAAAGGCAAGGTCTAGCCATCATAGCAAGGGTAAGGGATTGGGAAAGCAATGAAGCTATGACGAAATATTTTTTTAAGAAGATAAAGGCAAATCACAAGAACAGCAGGATTCATAGCCTCAAGGATTCCCAAGACAACCTGCAGACTTCATAAGAAGGAATGTTAAAATTGGCTGCAGAATTCTATCAAAGTCTTTACACATCCAAAACCAGTCCGGAAGAAAGCAACAACACACAGAAAGCCAGAGAAAAATTCATGAAGCACCTGGACAAAAGTCTCAAACAAGAGGCCATAGACTACTTGGACAAGGAAATCACCAACGACGAACTCTATGAGGCCCTTAAGAGCATGCAACCGAACAAAAACCCCGGGTTAGACGGACTGCCAAAAGAATTTTGGCAGGCCAACAACTGGCAACTAATGGGAGATACAGTCACATCATTCTTCCTAGAAGCCTTTGACAAGGGATCTCTAGGGAAAGAGGTCAGCACGGGAGTAGTCACACTCCTATATAAAAAAGGGGAAAGAGCAGACATAAGGAATTATAAGCCTATAACCCTCCTTCCGGTAGTCTACAAAATACTAGCAAAAACCCTAGCTAACACAATAAGGAATGTCACGGACAAATGCTTCCATCTGGACCAAACAGGTTTCATACCGGGAAGATACATCCTGGACAATGTGGTCTGCCTAAATGAAGCTACTAAAATCATAAAAGACAAAAAATTACAAGCAGCCATACTGTTCTTCGACTGAAAAAGCTTATGACCAGGTCAACTGGGACTTCTTGCAGCTAAGCATGGAAAAAATGGGGGTAGGACCAAACTTCAGAAAATGGATAAAGGTGCTATATGGGGACGCCCAAGGGTTGGTACAAGTCAACGGTCATCTTTCGGAAAAATACAAAATGACAAGATCCGTTAGACAAGGGGACCCGTTGGCAGCCCCGATCTTCCTCTTTGTGATGGAAGCAATAGCCGCCTTTCTCCGCAAGGACCCATCTATAGAAAGACTCTCGGCAGAGCATGATGGGAGACCTCTAACTATTCCCACAGTGATGTTGTTCGCAGACGACC